AATCAAGACAACAAACATATGCTTCATGCAGTGAAAGGCTTGCTTGTATGCCTGAACTCCCAATTTGTATTAGCTACCAATAGCTCATGTACTCATTTGTTAAGTATCTGACATGCAGAAACTTACAGAATATGAAAACACTTCTTTTTTTTCAACTTCCCAGTTAACCATAATTAATATTGTGCAGTGAGTTCAACTAGAAGGGAAAAAAAACCCCTCTTAAATCAGGCTTAGTTGGATACTTAATAAAATATTCCCTTGAAATACCAAACAGTGCCCATGGCAAATAGCTCTCCAGGTCCCTTAGCAGTTCTACTGCTTGCTACCTTGTTTACCCATTCATACTGTAGAGCTATTCACTTAGGCCAAGCTGTGCCTCCAAGAACACAAACTTAGGAGGACGTGCTCTAAGTAGTGACAATACAACTTCACCATGACATATAAAAGGGCTAAATGTTTTTCCTCTCCCAAAAGGCAATGAGAAGCAGTTCCAGTGTCTGACAGACTGTTAGATGTTGTATATACTGTGCATACACGGGTAAGTCCACCCCAGAGTGTGCCTGGAGTAGATATAAGTATAGACTGGGCTGACCAGAACTTGAGGCCTTGCTGCCTGTCTCCAAACATGCCCCCAAAGCTGTAGGTGAGAAAGGGCCTTGGATGTGCACTCTCAGGGGCCCTTGGTCTCATCTGGATGAGTAATGAACCCAGGACTAAGGTCTACCACAGGGAACACTTACTGCTGTAGACAGCCATGGTCTGTATCATTCACTGCCAGTATATCCCCGATACAAACCAGGCTAACCCTCCAAGAGAGGGTGACTTCTTTTTTTCTGAATCTAATGCTAACCCTAAGGCACTGCACAAGTGTATGATGATTATATTATATCCTTCCCGGTAGACAAAAAAAATCTGATTCTCTATCACTGGAAGATAAGCTTTCTTGGGAGTGATTCACTGTTTCTGACTGCAAACAAAGCTTGAGTCAGCTCAGGGGACAGCTCTGCTTCCTTTAGACACTCTGGGTGAGATGGGGCCCCTTTGGCTCCCTGTGCCCTCAGAGTCCTCCAAGGCTTTCAGCAAAGTCCATTGCCCTGAGATGCTCTCAGGTTCCTTCACACCACTCTTGGAGCACACAATTAATATTTTCAGAAGGATATGGCAGGATATTTCAGATGTTTGGAACAGACCATGTACCTCTCTCTTTAGGGCTGCAGTGTCTGCCCAGGGCCCAAGCAGCCCCTGTGCTGCAGGAGCACAGCTAGTCCCTTCTAGGAAGAGGGAGGGAAGCAGTCTGGAGGTGAGCGACCCTGCTTCACAGGGCCTAGCCTGGGGGTGCTGCCTTAGCAACATGGATGGGGTCTAAGTAAGATGTTGGCAACACCATCTCCTCCTCTGAACATGCTGAGAAAGGTAGTCCTGTTTCAGCCTTTCATTTGAAAGACTTGTCTTCAGCACCAAGGATTACCCAGAAAAGAAGGCACTGCAGAAGAAGGTGGATACAGATGCCTTCCTGCAACCCAAAGCTCCCATCCCCCCCAGCAGTGGGATTTCAGATCCTTCCCTTCTGCCTGAGGGGTGTAATGGAACAACCACTCCAGCCTTCATACAGCTTGCTAGGTAGCACTGCCTCTAGGCAGGGCTGGTTTTGCTCACGAAGACCTAACTTTCCCTGGTCAAGTTCAGCAGCATCACAGCAGGTGTTGCCTTTTTAATGCCTTGTGCTGTTGGATGTTAACGATACTTATTCCAACCATGTAGTCCAAGGAGATTTCAGGAGTTGTACAAAAAGCTACTGCTTCAGATACTTTCATCAGAGAATTTTGTTGATGTTCTTGGTAAAGATGTGAAAGCCAGCACAGACCATAAAGAACTGGCAAAAACCTGAAAGAGCCTCTGCCCAGGAAATCACTTTGACTCACAGCTCCAGACAAGCCAGCTATCAGCCACTGTAGATAATTATTACTATATTGAAGATAAGACTGAGAAAACAAGAACAAAATAAATGGTATTGCTGTTTTCTTACCCTCTAGATGAATAAGGGTAGCTGTGCTTCCAGTCGAGTGAACACGTTTTGTTACCCATGTAGCTGTGCTCGTGTGGGGTTTTTCTCCTTTATTCTGTACACACACACAGTTTTTACGTATATAAATCAGGTACTTCAAGCAGCAAATGCCAGTATAGATACTGGCACACCCATTAATCAACCACATTCTTCTCTATATTTGCACTGCTCTATCTCCTTTTTATATAAGAATTTTTGTAGCATTGAGTTACCTGTACAGCAGTTGCCAGAAATCAATACAGAGAAACTCCCTCAAATAAGGACAAGTCTAAACACTGACTCTTCCTTCAGCCTGGGCAGTTCTAGATTAACCTGTTTAACAGGACTTTACTCCATGCAACAGCTAAGAGCCCTCACCTCAGACAGCTTTTCTGTGAAGTGCCCTTGGCTTGCACATCACCTAGACCCTGCCCAGGTCAGTCCCACACTTTCCTCTTTGACCTCTCTACCCCACCTTTCTTTTCCCTCAGTAACTTCCAGATCTATTCACTTCATAAAACATAACTGAAAAATTTGAGAATAAAATTCTGCATTATTCCCAAATATGTGAGGGACTGGGCTTTCTCCCTTTGAGTCATCTGCAGGTATAAGGATCAAAGTGGGTCTTTTAAAAGCCTGCAGAAAAACAAATTAAAATGCTTGCTGTAGCTCTGGTTTTGGAATAATTTAGTTAAATTCATGCAAACATATGAGACTCATGCATTTTAATAAGCTGAAGAAAACAAAAATCCTTTGTGACCCTTTTTAAAAGAACAGATTAATTCTCAAGATCCAACACATCCTATCAAACAAAACATATTCTACAGGATATGCATAGTGTGTGGCTGTTCTGAGTAGCTGATCAATTCACCTGGAAAATCCTTCAAAAGTGAAGTAGTTTCCTCACCTGCAAGCTTTCAGATTTGCTGGAGGCCTGGCTGTGATGAGGCAGCTGGGCTTACCGAGGAAAATATGCTTTTAAAGGCTGCAAAAATGCTTTTTTTCTGTACCTTTAGCAAACATAGAGGGCAATTCCTTTCTCAGGGAGGCAGTAGCCAAACCACGGCCCAGGTGAATTTAAGCTACAGGTAACTATAAAACAGGAACAGTAAGAAAACAACAGGTTTAAAGGGAGATACAGAGAAAACCCATAGAGAAACTGCTGTCCCTCAAGGCAGTTGGTCACCTTTTTATCTTCAGTAACAAATTTCAGTAACAAAACCTTAAGCAATTCCCAGAGTTGTGAAGCAGATGTCCCTGCATGTTCTTTCTTCTTTGATCTGACAGAAGCCACCTTGGCCAGAAGGCCCTCGATGGGGCTGTAAAGATGAGGAGCAGAACAGAGAAACGCAACCAGAATGCTACAGAGGGTCTAGGGTGGAAAAAGGGCACAGCCTCGTACGTGCCCTCCCACCATGGGTTCTGGGGTCGGTTAATGGATCCCATCTAGGAAATCTCAGGCACACAGAAGTAGCTGGATAAGCTCATAGGAGAAGGCCTCAGTGCTGGAACAGGAAAGCAACCACCTAAACATTGTGCTCAAGGTAAAGGCTCAGAGGGGACCACCTCCTATGCTCAGGGAATACCCCAACACCCCCCTGCCCTCCAGCCCCACTCCCAGCAGCACCAGCCAGCACCACCTCCAGGGGCCACCTCCAACCCACACCTGTGGCTCTTCAGCAAGACTGGGCTCGTCCAGGCTGACACATTCTTTTCTTTGTGCCTGCTGTTGACCCAACACTTCCCATTCCTCATTTTGAGTTCAGTAACCTATAAAAAAAATCCACATTATATAATGTACTTTGCAATGTAAATAAATGTAATGTTTGAATGCACCTTAAATGAATTAGTCCTGCTGACTAGGCAGGAACACTACACAAGCTCTTGCTAACCTGGGGTTACAGATACTGACTGGCAAGCTGATATGGGCATGTTCACTGCTCTGCTGATGCCACACAGGAATGGTAATGGCTCCTGCTTCCTCCTTCTTCCTGCTTTCCTCTTGACAGAAACATTTGCTTTACTTTTTCTCCTCTACCCAGCTAATTATTTATTTTCATTTGTAACAAAGAATGTATTAGAATCCAAGGATTGTTCTGGCCATTCAAAACAATGAAAAATCACTATCTATAGCTATAATAGCTATATATTTTAAATATAAATATGTAACTCTGTAACTATATAAATATCCAGCCAAAGACCCATTAGAGAGACAATAGATTCCTTAGACCGGGTAGGTCAGGAGGATGATTTTGATAATGAAACTCCATTTGTGTAAGATCAATTTTTCATGATGATAGGTATTTTAGAGAGAATTTGCTTTTAGAAGGGAAAATTGCTGAACATAATTCATTTATTTATGAAGCCACAATTGTATGGGCAGTGGTCTACTTATTGCAGCAGATACTACATATTTTAAATACCTATACAACTATATAACTACTTAACAATGTAATTAAAATATATTTTCAAATATAAATTTAAAAATGACTGCATTATCAGATCCTTCTTGCCTTAAAATTATTCTACTTGCACCACTGTTAATTATCAATATTCAAGAGATCAACTTTTTCTATACACACAATACATTACACTGTTTAAAAAAATAGAAGACAAACCCGTTTTCATTTAATCAAAATAAAGAGGGAAGTGATCTGAACTACCATGTAGATTTCTAAGGCATTTCCAGTCTTGACTGCATGTCTGAGGTAATTTCATATCTTCTGATATACTGTGGGGATTGTAGAAAACAGTTCTTAAAATCACTTTTACATGTATCTTGGTCATAATTTATTTGTACAGGCACAACATGATATAAATGGATTTAATCTGATCCAAATTAAATTGGATCAAATAGAAGATAGACATTTAGCCACCATTTCCATGGACAGAGCAAAACATAGTAGTTGCTTTGAAAAGTTCTGCGACTGATTCGCTGAGTTCATTCCTTATGTTCTCAGTCCCACTTGGAAGTTTTTCTCCTCATATACCTGGACCCCTCACTGTCGATGGCTTCATAGAGGTCCTTCTCATTCTCTACTGTTGCACGCCAATAACCAAGGTAGGCCACACAGAGGGTAATTGCTATGAACCCAAATGCCATCACGGGTTTGTTCTGACAAGAAAAAAAAAAAGTTTAGTACCTGTTGTGAGTCAAAACATTCAGACAAACGTTACATTCCTCTGTCTCACTTAGAAAGTAAACTTTTGAGACATCTGTAAAAAAACTTCATTGCCTTCTTGCAGACTGATCCAGGTAACTTTGTTAAGCAACAAGGAGACTTGGTTTGCTGACAGCAAAAGGAATTCCCTTTGAAAAAGAAGACTCTGGAGACAGAACATCACATTGGTCAGTGCTCTGCCCTTGGCTGGCTGCAAATGCTGCTTAAGCATCAACAAACAGGCCACAACTAATTACTAAAGGTAACTACTACAAACTTCTAATGGACTTCACCTGGATATACTACTGGGACAACACACTTTGCTCCTGCCAAGCAACCTTGACTGTATTCCTCTGAAAGAGATCATGTATTATCAACACAATATCTTTTATTATATGCACAACATTTCATCCAGTCTTGCCGAGTTCTGCAAGTGTAAATAAAACCTGAGTTTTATAAATAAAAAGAAAAATCCAAGATATTGAAAAGCTACCAAAAATCCCCCCCTTTCATACGAAAAAGCTTGCATTTTTTTATTTGTTCCCTCTTAAAGAGGGCTCTAATTGTCAAAGTACATGGGTGATGTGACAAATCTTTCTGAAAGCAACTTGCTAGGCACAAAAGAATCAGACAAGATAACAGTGAGAGAAAACCTGGAACAAACAATGTCATGTTCTGGGATCTGAACAGTCGGAGTGGAAAAAAAAGATAAAATATTTTTAGTTACATTACTAAGTGGTTTGCATAACAAGAGATGGTTATATAATGCACAGAGAACTGTGATAATTATTTTAAAGCAACCTGTTCTCTCCAAGCATATTTAGTTTCTCTCAGAATGAGCCTCTTACAGGTCTAATGAAAAGCTCTGGGTTCACAGCTCGGACGAGCATAGTTGTTCGGACACTTCTCAGTCCTGGGTTTCTCTCTTTGGGGGTTTCATTTTCATTTGGAGGTTTGCTGGAAGACATTTTCATTAACTTTTATTCCTTCCTAAAAAAACAGAATGAAAAACAGATGTCATTTTTATAAAAAACTGAAAGAACTACATCCTGACTGGGAGTTCACACCTGTCTGCTTACAGCATTCATTTTAGTTTGTGTATATATTAACAATTGTCTTTGGCATTACCTAACACTCCCAGCTTAAGCACAATTCTTTTAAAACCTGTCAGTTTTGTGCATCCTAAAGTTAACCTTTGGATCCTGCTACAGCAAACCTAAGTCTCCTGCAAATGGGCTTAGGGTTTTCTGCTTTGGCTAATGCTTCAGCTACCTGTCCAACAAGTAGAACTCTTCAGACCACTGGCTAAAAAGACAATGCCACGTTTGGTTTTTTTTAAAAACAAACAAACAAACACAAACTCCAAACCCTACATGTGACAGGACAGCCCACATCCCATTGCAGCGCATTTTATCCCCCCCTACCCGGGCAGCTCTAAGGGCTCAGGTCTCCCTTTCCCACACCAGGGGCAGGTCACACAGGAGCGGGGAACCACCCATCCCTCTGTCCCACCCCCCCCCCCGAGGAGCAGGGCACACACGGGGCTGCAGGGCAGCTCACACCGCCGGGAGGCCCAGGAACACGAGTCACAGAGCGGGCCGAGCCTGGGCCCGGGCCCCGCTCCCTTCCAGGCCCGAGGGCCC